TTTGAGTGACTTGCCGCTGTTTGTCTGATGATTGCTGACATTGGCTCTTAAGTTATTCTTAACTTGGGCTAAAAATCTAAAATGTAATTTAGTGTTAACAACCGAGTTGAAAACGTAAATTGAACACCGTAAAGAGTTTAAAGACTCTGAAGCCTTTAAACTCTTTACTGTGATCAATTTACGTTTTCAACTCAGTTGTTGACACTAAATTACCTGTTATACTATCCCAGCGACGCAGCACCACAGTTTCTTTAGAAACTTACCACCTCTAAAACATTTAACCTAAGTTGGACTTAAGCTGGAGCCTATTTTTGTGTCCAAATTATACACTTTACAGCAGGATCTCGTCATTGAATTATTTTTAATCTATCTTTTTGGCGCCATTTGTCAAATCAACGGACATTTTGACAGACAATTTGACGTTTCATCCTGTTCCGCTTTCGGTGCTAAACTGTATTTGTTTGCCGGATGTGTTATAGGACAAACCATCTTGACATCTTGAGGTGACAAAAGTGTCAAAATAAACCATATATTAGTCCAAATTAACATAGAATCGAATGATTCGGAAAGAGTGTTGTAGAAGCTCTTAATTTAAATTTTAAAAACGGACAGCACTGTGCTACAGTCAAGTTAAATCAGGAACTCCTTTAGTGTTGGTTGATTTTCATTTTAACTCTCTGATGTTCAGATGTCATTAATTCTTTGTATTTAACCCGGTGGTCTTCTAATAAAGACGGAAGTGTTTTGTTTATTTTCTGCCTCTGCCGCTGAGTCTAAACTGTCGAATTGATGCGTAGGACCTTTTTCAGAGTTCTTTTCAAATGTTTGCGGATCTCTTTATATCGCCAGCAATAAATCAATGGATTAAGGGATGAATTAAGAAAAATTAAGAATACGGAGACATGATGAGCTACTCTGTAGGACAAACGGAATTCACCGTTCAACAGCGCAATTGTACAACACAAGTTTGGAACGTAGCAAACAAGAAAAACAACATAAACAACTGAAGCATTGACAAACGACTTCTTTTCTCGAAGCTTCTCCATTGCTCCGCCTTTTTCCAGCTCACATTGCTTTGGTATCATATTTTGATGATATTTTACAACTCTTGAAAGATAAATGAAAATAGCCGTTGAGACAAGCAGTCCGAACACCTCAACAGCCACAATCACAAAGGCATAGCGAAGAATTGTAATGGAAACGGTAGCGCAAAGACCACTTGTAAGCCACAACACGGCCAAAACTGCAGTTACGCGGTTAGATGTGACCAGCTCATGATATCGCAAATGGAGGTAAATAGCAAGAAATCGATCCAAAGCCATGGCGGTTACGGTAAAAAATGAGGCTGAAGCCAGCAGAAGCGCAGAGAAATGATAAAATGTGAAAATAATGGGACAAAAGACATCGAAATTGTGGTTTTCACTTGCCACCATTTTAAGCATCGTTGCGTTGATAACACCGAATGTTAACTGTGGAATCAACCCTACGGCAAGATCGGAGAAAGCAAGATTGATAAACAACTTCCTCAATGTGGATGGTATCGAAGAGGTTCTCCACAATGCACTAATGACAAGGAGGTTTCCAACGAGTGCCACGATCGAAAATGTCAAGTTTAAAATGGTAAAGTTAAGCACGAACGTGGCGTGAAAAAGTACAAGTTCTTGGAATCTTTCAAGCTTCTGAGAACAAAAGGAGGAAACCATGTTGAACTCAAGGTAAACTTAACATGACTTTATGAACATGAAATATTAAAGGGAAAATACCTCATGTAAATATGAATTTATTTAAAGAAAATGACTGATATTTTAAATTGACTTCTGCAGATGTTGCTTTACATATTTCATTCTATCTTGCTACAGAACTCTTCCTTATCCGCCAAATTTGCTATGGTAAAGTATTTCGAGGAAATTCACAAGAGAAATATTTTGAGTGTAGCTGAAAGTCCTAGCTCATAAAATAGTGGGTCAGTTTTATTTCTTATTTCTCATTTCTATCATAAATTTGTTTATTTTTTAATGACATTCATGCATTGAGGAAAATTAAAAAAGGTAAAAAGTATCTCTTGAACATTATAACGAGGAAGAAACGAGGCAAATAATTAAGTCGGCTGATCCTAGTAGAAATCTTGTTACGTATCCATTTAAGAAAATAATTAACATTTAATTTTTAAATATTTGGGAACAGAAAATTGTTCAGAAAAAAAAAACTGAATGTTATTAACACCAAAATATCACGTTCGAAATTATTAGAGACGGTATTTGCCTTTGGCAGGGTTTTATTAGTCATTTGTCAAACTGTGGTCCTTTCATAATGTCAATGTAGACACCTCTTTAACATCATGCAAGTTCTACAGAAAAATTGACTCGTGACACTCAATGACCACAAAACTCCAATTACGATTTCAACGGCGAATCGTGCTAACTGAACATAAGTCGTCTTCAATTGTCATTTATGGCTAACGAGGCGTGAGGACACGGAAAACTTCAATTTCTTTATGTTTATCCATCTGGCCCCGGTTGTTCGAAGATCGGATGACGCTATCCAGTGGATAAATCTCTATCCGGTGGATAACGCTACACGTTTTGCTATCACTTATCCGCTGGATAGCGATTTATCCGTTGGATAGTGTTATCCGCCCTTTATACAACTGGGCCCTGAACCTATATTTTACAGTATTTTCGATTCATTGTGGAGTGTTGAGTTCCGGCGTCTGTCAGTTTCGACTTTCTCCATTAAAGTGCTTAATTCGAACGCGTGTTCGTGTGTCAACAAATGCTGTGCCAGCGTGAGTGTTTGTAATTATTTATTACCTCATCATTAATTTTACAAAGTTTCTTTTGCCATTCAAAAATTCCCTCTTAGAGAATAGCTTTCTGAATGTTCAATTGCCTGCAAGTGGGGGTGATAAGCAAAGGCACACAGGAAAAGACCTCTTAGGTGTAAACAAATAGTCCTCTTTAGAAGAATATAACTTTTCGTCAAAACAGCTCAAAATAAATTTCTAATCAGCCAGCTTCTAGCAAGCAAAAGTTGACGCGTTGACAAGTTATCTAAATCTGCAACTCGGCGATTGGTTCGAAATTGAGGAGAGTCTGAAAAACATTCATTCATGAAGCTGAATAAAAAATTAAAAAAAAGAAAAGTGATATCCTGGTCTGATGTAACGAGGATATCTCTCGAATAGTGCATTTCAGTCCAAAGTTCTTGTCTAATTTGCATTGCTGATTTCTGCACGGGATGAAAATTGGAGGCTAGAATCGGGAATCGAGTATGGGTTAGCATGCAAGGGCTTTCACTCGTGAATCATCTGTTTTTTTTTTCCCGTACAGCTTTCGAAACGGACAAACGGACACAGAAATTTCGCTGCAATATAACATAAATTAACTTGCGAAAACTCAGCGAAGACGACCCACGAACAAATTAAGGGATGAGTACATGAGAGCGGCTTTAACTGGCTGCTGACAGGTCCACGTGGTACATAGGCCTCTCGTGTTGGCGTATAAGTTCACTCGAGCCATAGTGATAGTCTTATTTTTCAGTTTTAGAATATTTTTCAATAATATTGATGGACACCCATTGTTAACACAAATTGAAACACACATTACGTAATATGTTAAACAGACATTCATAGACTTAAATTTCTACCGTTTTACTGGTAGCGTGTCGAAAGGAAGTGAGAAAAAGTTTCAACTTGAAAAGGCGAAGCCAAGCGATCAAACATTTTTCTTTTGCCGCTCAGATACGACAGGTGGGCGTAGTTTTCATTAGTTTTGAAAAATAAAAGAAACGTGGTCTCACATTGCAGAAGTTTTAAAATATTGACTTTGCGTTGACTTCCTTCATATGGACACTATTTTAAAAACCGACAGGAATCATTTTTTTCCAGAAGAAATGCATAACTTTCGCTGTGAGGAGACTACAAGAGTCACATGTAATCAATAGTGTTGATTTGATCTCTGTATCGAATCCCGTTTTGATGTTATAACACAATGATTAAAGCATGGTTCCTTTGCCATGAAATAATAATAATAAAAATGTCCCACTTGTGAAAGGAAAAAAAAATGTAGAACTGTTATTGAACTGTCATTTCTTCAAGTGCTCTCCAGGTTCCCAAAAAAGTTAATTATGCTCAAGACAATTTTAGTCCCCTGTTCTACCGAGTAATTACCTCTTCGTGCCTTAAATTAGTAACATAACGGTCGGGTATCCGAACATATTGTCAATTTTCTGCTCATGATCTGTTTGCAAGCAGATAAGCCCACCAACGTCACAACATCATCGGTTTAATTAATCAGGAAGAAACACGGTATTGCATGGAACTGTTTTCAATTTTTAAAAGTAAACAGTGAACCCAGCTGAACGTTAAAATTGAAAAACTCGGAGACAATCAAGAATTGTCGAAAAAGAGTTTGCCCCTCAGACTCTGATAAGATGCAAATTTAGTCAGCACTTGTAATGGTTACTGACGGAAAATAACATGTCAAGTTCAGACATCGCAATAGGCACACGAATGACACCTACAATGTGGCATCTGTTATTTGTTCTCTGTTTGACAGCAAAGCTTTGTTTGTTTGTTTTTTATTTACATATCAAGAGAAATATCGTGGATTCGTTATCCATCCGTTTTTTTTCCTATTTCTTTCCGCTTTACCAAAAAAAAGAGAGCTGAACTTCAGATTGCCGGGTATTGAATCAATAGTTAAAATTGCAAACTGAAAAAAAAATGCTCCTTGTAAATACGCAGCAGGAATCAAAACAACGAAGCAGTGAGCATGAATGTGCCTTTGAATTGAAGAAATACATTTACTTCTAGAAACTTAAGTTACTCGTTGTCTTTACTGTACAATTTTCAATTCCTTGCATACAGATTATCTGAACTAAACTTTGCGTCAAAAATAAAAGAATAGACTTAGGGACAGTAAAAGGATATAACGCCTTCTTTCAAGGCAAATTAAAAATTAAATCTTACTCCAACGCCTATACCAATAAAGTCAATTGCTTTAACGTAATAAATTCTTCACAATTCTCTTTACAATTTGACGAATTTCGCGAATTCGCCAGCAGTAAATGATCGGATTTATAGAAGAATTCAACAGAATCAAGATGAATGAGACATAATACTCTATTATAGACGACGCTCGAGAATTATCCACTATTAATATCAAAGTACAGCATAAATAGGGCAGATAACATCCCAGGAAAACAACATAAACAACGAGTGCGTTGATTGCAGACTTTTTCTCTCGAGCTTTGGATATTTCTTGATCATCATGCCTCTGTAACTGAGTTTGTATTTGATTCCGATGATATATCACAGCCTTATAGATTTTAAAATAAGCCATAGATGTAAGGAAGAGGCCAAGAATCAAAAGTACGTTAGCTACCATGTCACTGTATGCTGGAAGAGAGACGTAAATACCCGCAGCAATTCCACTTGCTATCCACACAGACACCAAAGCCAGAGAGAGACGTTTGGAAGTCACAAGTTCATGATAGCGAAGGTGGAGATAAATTGCGAGGAGTCGATCGATAGCAATTACCGTAACATTCAAGAACGAAGCGCAGGCCAGTGAAAAGGTACAAAAATGACTTATGGTGAGTGTGACTGGGCAGAAGACGGAGAAGTTATATTCTCCATTGGCTGCCATTCGTAACATCTCCGCTATGATGCCACCGAACAAGGGCTGTGCGAATATTCCCATGGCAAGATCCGAAAAAGACAGACTCATGAATACCTTCCTTACTGCAGGCGACATCGACGAACTTTTCCACATGGCACCAATCACGAGAAAGCCTCCAATGGTCGCCACGAGAGAAGAAAACAAAATTGAAATAAAGAGAAATAATAAAAACTCCCTGTTAGAATGTAGCATTATGTGTAACTCCTGTAACTGCAGATCGCAAAACTTTTCGACCATGAGATAATCGTTTTGGTTGCTCTGTCCTTTGGCCAACTGTATCTCCTACAGGATAATAAACAGAGAGTGTTGAGCAGATCTCCTAAGACTTACTTCCAAATTCTAATATTTACGCGATTAAATATTTATTGTGCTCTGTAAATAGGTGGAGTTCATGCTGCTTTAAACACGGCCTATGAATGTTCTGTGCCCATTGAATAATTGCCTAACCACACGAGTACTGCATAAATACATTCTTTGGACGATAACCGCGAGGAAATAGAATGGCCAAATTAAGGTTCTTCGATATCTCTCTAAAGAAAGGCGAAAATGTCGTTCTTTTGTACAATCACTAAAATGGAAATCGTTTAGTGAGAAAACAGAATTACACCTCGAGGCAGACTTTTTTAGGCCATCTATGCAAATTTGAATTTGTACATAAGGCAAAAGTAAATACCAAAAAAAATATTGCCATATTGCAACTTTTTATGAAATAAAAGCCGCATGATACTTCGTTGAAACACGCTAAACACGTATCATTTGTCGATTTTTATTTCACGCGAAATTGTGCACCGATCACACAGTCATTCTACCAGGTCTTATAATCGATCAATAGCGGGTCAGGGCGATGAAATAACAGAAGCAAATAATTAACTCTCAACCAATAGGTATCTGTTCAAGTGAGTTTCTCCTTCAAACAAATACAGGAGAAATGAACTATTGAAAGTAATCGATGCTCCAAATATTAAAACTTAAAAAAAAAAAAAAAACATCTTTTTTTTCTCATAGTTGTCCTTAGCTTTGTCCACGATACTGTCGCTGGGTTCAATTATTTTATGTCAGAGAAAAGGTAGATATCGGTAAAACGTACTTTACCTTCAAGTTAGAAACTGAAAAAGTAAGTATTTTCTCAAGTCAATGTTTTACGATACCAACAAAGCTTTACTATTACGCTAACGGATACGAATTTCTACTTTCATCTTGATATATAACATCTCTCGTGGGTGGGCGCAGGATACGAGTGAGAAATATTACAGTCAGCGTTACTCTCAAAGATAAAAACCACATCCAAGCACGTTCATGTAAGATCACTCCTGCATATCTTCTGTGATGAATGAAAAATGTCAAAATTGACAATTTTATATAGATAAGAGGCGATTTTCAGCTACAAAAAGTTAAGACTAACACTTTTAGGAAGATCCAAAACGACGACATTTCGACGTCGAAAAGGAACCAATATTAGTGTATTCTTTTTGACAAAAAAAGTCTTGCGCTTATGGAGCCATATTTACTATCTAGCGTGGACAATATTCCTCATAAAGAGCGTCTTGCAAACAAGACGTTTCCCGAGGAACTTTCGAAGGCACGCCTATGTGGTGTTTTGTGGTTGCCGAATTCTAATTCTATGCAAAAACTGAGTGCTTGTGTAGAGTAGGGGAGGGGGAATTCGTTTCGCGATTTGGAAATTTCGTCACTGTAAGAGATTTGTGCCATCATAAATTTGTTCGTGAAATTATGTAAGGTGATGAAGAGCATGACGAGCATGACGAGCATCAAGTGAAAGACAGCAGCGTCTCTTCCTCAAGGCCAAATATCATCTAATGCTGTCAGACGGCGGACTAATTACTTCAATCAGTTGTTGTTACTACTGTTGAACATTTGAAATTTTTTCTTCAACAAGAAAGCAGAAAAAGTTTATATCTAAAGAAGATCAAGTGGCTCCTGCTGTATAAAAAAAACCATCGATACATTAATTTTCATGTGATTGGGACTCGACAACTTCACCCCGGAAAAAAGAATTCGGTGACTGACAAACACGTTAGGACGTTGCAGTGGGGACATAAATCTCTTTAAATTTGTTAAAAAAAAATAGTTTAGTTTGTATAAAAGAGTCTAATTAATCTACGAAAACGTCTTCTTCTTTTATATATATATATACCATTTAATGTTTTGATGACATGTTGTTTTATCGCAGTATTTTTACGGACAAATTATGAAAAGTGTTGCGACATTAGCTTTATATCTGAGTATGTTGTCTTTGTAATACCAAAGTTGTCAGGTAATGATAAAACAAATAATACATAGAATCGTTTTAAAAAAGGTACAAACGTGCTTGTCAAAGCTAATTCAACAACATTTTATGATGGATTTTGTGTCCTCATAGGATTCATATCAGCTGCTCTGGAAATACAATATCACCATAGTAACGCTCAACGTCATAAGGACTTATTTGTAATATTTTTCTTAAGAGACGTTTAGTCCACTAATCAAAACTGACTATTAATATACTCCCTAGTGCGAAATATGTGAAGGAGAATTAAACGATACTAATGCTTAATCTTTTCTTCAAATGTGCTACTTCTTGAATAAGCGATAATTTACAAAACAAGCCGAGGGCACCGAAAGGGAATTTTGACCCTCCTCTGTGATTATTAAAATATGCTATACGTTTCAATTCTTGCATGGATAGAAATTATTCAGAGTCACGCGAGATTAAGAGTTTCCTTATCGTGTTTATCGCGTAAACGCGAATTTGTCTATATCGCCAGCAGTAAACCAGCGGGTTTAACGCAGAATTTAGAATAACCAAGAACAAAGTTGCATGATTGGCTACTAAATAGGATATTGAAGTACTGTCAGTTAATAACAAAATCGTGCCGCTTAAATGTGGGGTGTAACAAGCCAGGAAAATAACATAGAAAAACAAAGAATTGATAGCTGCCCTCTGCTCACGGATAAATACTTTCAAGCGATGACCACCCTCTCTCATTTGGCTATTTATTCTGTTCTGATGATATCTTACGGCCTTGTAGATTCGGATGTATGCTATGGTTGTCACAGGAAATCCAACGGCTTCGACAATCACAACCACCAAATGATTGTTGTTTGGAAGAGACACGAATAGTGCAGCGGTGACAACGCTTGTTACCCATAAAGATATCAACGCTAACACAATTCGATTAGTAGTGACGAGTTCCTGATATCGGAGATGAAGAGAAACTGCTAGATATCTATCCACAGCGATGGCTAGAATGGTCAAGAATGAGGCGGACGCCAACAGAAATAAGAAGAAATAGAGCAAAATAAAGCTGGTTGAACACAAGTCAAAGGGCTGGTCTCCATTTGCGTTTTTGTGCAACATCACTGCAACAATAACTCCAAACATCAGCTGAGGGCACATTCCAACAGCGAAATCAGCCACAGCAAGACTCAGGAACAATATCTTCAGATTCGAAGGTACTGATGATGCCTTTCTCAGAGCGCAGATAACGATGAGATTTGCAAGACATGTCAAAACGGAAAACATCAAGTTCAGGACACAAAATGTAATCATAAAAGTCCAATGATGAGTCAGGAGCTTCATATTTTCTTCCAACCTCTGTTCGCAGAAAAGGGACCCCATTGCGAACTTACTCTTCAAATTAGTCGCCGCGAGAATCAATACAAACAGGAACAGTTTAATTTGCCGATTTTCAGAAAGATATGGAAAGCGGAAATATGATACCGCTGTGAGAGTCACTCGTATTTGTATTTAAACAAATAGCGATCGCAGAGCTATCTACTTACCTGTGACTGAAGCGGCAAGCATTGTTAACGCATGTAAACGTTCTTGAGCGGTTCATGGCTTTAAAAAAGATTAAATAGTAAAATCATATTTACTAATTATTCGCAGGTGGTAATCAGCATTGTCAGAAATCTCCATAACAAATTCGATGTCGATGGGATGATTCAAAAATACTCGCCGAGATCAGAATTTGTCACAGCAAAATCATACAAAGAAGGGGATAGCCAGGAAAAGTTCATCTTCTCTCATTTCATTTATTGCTCGCTGTCTATTCGGAAAGTTTAAAAGTGTGTCATTATGATAATCACCTTACGAAGGGTGATCATAACATTTCATGACGTAGTCGTCGACCAATCACAGCGCTCTCTTCGTCACTTCTGTAGTTATCTAAGCAATCATACTGAGATATTTCAAGACCTATTTTTATATCATACATCTAAGAAATTGTTGATGCACCTGCTTCTTTGGGCGCCAACTTGTCACTCTCGAATACCAATCTTATTAGCATAAGTATGAGACAGTCCATATGTTATTAACGATGAGTGTATTTCAATAATCGTTCTTTGTTGTCAGTTTGAAACGAAATAGAAAGTAAACATATTTTTAAAGGGTTCCATAAAATTATCATCTCACGAGGTTGTGCCTCGTGAGTCCACGACATTTTGACCACCACTGCGATGTAACTTTACTGAGTCCACATGGCTTGTTTGTATCATCTTCACCAGTATTGAACGGTCACTTTGGCGGAAGCACTCATATGACATTACGAATAATTTCTCAAATAAATTATATTCCGTGTTTATCTCCTGACATCAGTGTATATACTTCCTTTGAGTTCAAATGTCCTTTGGCCTATTAGGATTAATATCACGCGCGAACCCCACGCAGGACCAACTGTTAGATAATGGTAGACGCGTATAAACGCGTATAAACGCGTACAGCAATTGTGCTTTATTACTCTGCTTTAAGGCTAAGCCGCTATGTTATTACTTCTGACAACTCTATTTTAAATCCGACAATAGGCAACACCTGCTACAAAAAGGGACAGCTCCGTCATAAATACACCAACCTCAAATAAACGACAGAGCGATAACTACTTGTTCAAAGTCTTTTCTCAATGTCCTGGTGCTGAAGGTGTAAATACGCTGCAAGAAGCCTATCCGATACAATTGCCGCCATTGAAAATCAAGATGCGGCTATTGAGAAATACAACGAGACCTGAAATAAATACCTCTGCTGCTAATATTTTAGATGAGACATGGTCATCGAGAAGCGATGCAATTCAAGGAAATCACATTATTTATATGGTGTTGAGGTCAACTGTCCTTTTTTTCGCAAAGTACAAAGTTTGATAATTAGTACTAAGCGCTTTCCGGCGTCTTTGTTTGATTGTTTAGAAGATATATTCCTTGCTTTGTAAGTTTAACACGTTACTATAACAATTTGGGTGTGTTTTTTCTGTCTATTAAGGTGTGAGCCTGAATAGATTGAATTAAAATTTGTAATGTTGTTATCCTCCTTGTTAAGCCTAGGTGCTTTTGGGGAAAACAACATACACTTAATGTATGGTCCCGCGGGAAACAGTTAGTTTTGTTCTCCCGAGAGTCCTGGTGATCAAGACTCGAGAGAAGAAAAAACAAACGAATTTCCCGAGGGACCATACATTAAGTGCTTTGTTATATATTTAGACTTCCCCTTAAAAAATCATATGGGAAAAACGGCGCGCGAATATGATCAGGGGCACGTGACCAAGAATTAACCAATCACAGTACTTGTTTTTTTGAGTGAAAGTCTGGGTAATAACAATGAAAAATATGTTTAACAAAAAAATAAAGTCAGCGTGCATGAATATCAAGTGGATGATTGCTTTCTTAGCATCCTTATTCAGTATCCATATATGATTAAAACTTCCACATCAGCTGGATAACTAAACCCGCAGCAAAATAAGAGCATGCAAGACTGTTTAACCTCTTCGTTAAGGGGCTGGGATCAAATTTCCCTTCCAAAAGCAAGAATAACGAATACTTTCCCTGAGACGATCTCGGGAGAAAATGTTTGGTTTAAAATTCAAAGAAGCCACTTTGAAATTTCCTTACCAAGTCTTGAATACTCCTTTAATTTCTAATTACAAAGATCAATAATTTCTTGCTAAGAAACATTTTCAGGGCCTTAAAAATCGATCAGTCTTTAATTATGTTTGAGCTATTGAGAGAGGGAGGGAAACACGTGCTAGGACAAAGTTGGACGGTTTCATTGGATAATCATCCAAATTTCAAATGCCTCTCAACTTATCATTTTTACGCTTCCAATTAAAAGGCGCATGGGAATCTCACAGGTTTATTTATGAGTAGACCTTAATTACTTTCAAGTTGAATACCCGGTTGAATAGATGTTTCTATTGCTGGTGACGACTCAGCAGTGACAGGGGAAAGAATTTGCGGACATTTCAGTATTTAGGTTTCAAATTCTTAACCTTTTAGGACGGCTGACATCCTTTCATCATTTTCAATTGTCCTACCTTAATGATTGATCCAAGATTATTATAGTATCAGTGAAAGAGTAAAGTGCATGGTTAGACGAATATTGATTAGTTTTGTGGATATTCCATCAACTCTTTATCCGTCGAATCATCACTCCTAAGCTTCCAATCAAAAAGCTCCAAGGAATCTTGCAGGTGACCACAAGCCTTTAATTGCTGTCAAGTTAAGCACTTGACTGAATGAATGTTTTCATTGCTGCTTACAGTTAGTGGCAGCTAAAAGAAGTTCGAGAGGACTTCAGTTTCAAATTCTGAACATTTCGAGGCATCCAATTTTTGTTATCAACCCAGTTATTTCAGCTTTGGCCATAGAAAACTGAACGCTCTGGAATATGTAACAACCATCCAGCAAAGTGGATAGCAGTAAGATTAGGATATACATATTTATTCAAAACGCTATTCAGAGCAAGCCCAGACAGTAGTATTTGAGTTTCAAATTAAATTCGTTACACTTAGGTACGCCTAACTTCCTTTAATCTGCTCAGTTTTTCGACATTTGCCGAAAATAGTGTCTAAACTCTGAAAAATCAAGTTTACAAAAAACAGTCATGAAAAAAGAAATGCAAAATGGAGATTAAAATTAACATACTTAATCAAAAAACTAATCAGAACAGTGCAAGTAAAGAAATTGTGGAAGAACTGTGGTAATAATAATACAAAAAAGCGACATCACCTCAAGTTAACACACTTAAAATTTCACTTAAGACCGGAAGCACGACAAAAGACCACTAAGGAACCTATATAAACGGCAAAGCGACAAAAGCTTGTTCTGGTGTCACAATCTCCTGGTACTGAAGATTTTGATAAACAAACAGTGCAACTACCGCCATTGAACAAGGCGTGGTTACGAGACCTGAGATAAAGTCACAATGAAGGGAGATAACATTTAGATGATAATCTTCATCGGCCCATCTCATATCGGCTGTGCGTGCAACTCAACACGCTGGAAAATCAGAGAATGCAAGACTCTTAAACTTCTCTGCGGTCGTTGACATCGCAGAGTAAGGGTAAGTACGACAAATAAGAGACAGCCACAAGAGAAAACTTTAGATTAGAACGCGTAAAACCAGCTTGAAGGTACATTAATGAATGACAATTTTTACATACTCCTCTGGGTGGTCACACCATCGTTTTGACAGTAAGCCTAAAGTTAGTTAGAGTTAAATAAAGATCCAAAATTTTCATGCTGATAGATTTTCAATGGCCTTACCTTAATGATCGATCCAAGATTATTCCAGTATCAGTGAAAGAGTAAAATGAATGGTCAGACGAATATTGATCAGTTTTGTGGATATTCCATCAAGTATTCTTCGTCTGTCGAATCATCACTCTTAAGAATCTTCACGTAGCAGGTGAAAATTAACGTATAATTGCTGTCAAGTCAAGCACATAACTGATAGATGTTCTAATTCCTGGCGACAGCTAGTGACGGGCAAAAGAAGTTCGAGAGTTTTCCAGTCTTAAATTCTAAACACTTCGAGGCAGCTAACTTTGGTTATCAATCCAGTTATTAAAGCTTTGGCCATGGGAAACTTAGAGCTCTGGAAAATTTAACAGCCCTCTAATAAAATGGATTGCAATAAGACTGTAATTAACATATATTTTCAAAACGCAATTCAGCTGAGTAGTGTACAATGATTGTGATAATAAAGAATTTGTCGCGCCATATTTCATGGGTTTAATGCTGCTTTACGATAATAGGAAAATAGCATGGAACAAAATTTCAAAAATTCCAACTCTTAGCTCAACGATGAAAAATGAGTTGTTAAAAAGACGTTTCACTATTAAGCAAACCTTTCTTTAACTTTAAAATTTTGTTGAGATTGAGGATATTTTAGTATTCCCCAAAAGCATGTTTCACATACAAGCAATTACATTTCGCCTTTGAACTCTCCGACATTGGTACCGCGAACAATTTATTGAACTTTAACTTGCAGATTGAGGGTCTCAGTGGGGTAATGGTTTTTACGGCTAACGGTTAAAATTTTGGCTATTTTACTGCTAACGATTGATTTCATTTTATTTTTGTCACCAAAGTTATTTTTAATGGTTAACTTTTTTTACGACTATTGGCTGAACTTGTCAATTTTAACGCCTAACGGCTAAATTTTTTGGTCCTTTAACGGTTGTCGATTAACCTCACTGAGACCCTTTACACTGTAAGAAGAGTCTTGAAATTTCTACGAACCTTTGTCGAAATTTGAGAAATAAAAAATTATTTAGACCTCGTTCTCAGTGCGTAGCTGTAGATATTCTAAATGATTTGTAGACGATGGCGCGAAGAAAAAATATGACTGTAGCGTTGGTGTTTAGACTGTGATGAAACTAGATCTTTTTAAACATTTCTCTTACTTAAGTTAACACGGCTTAAAATCTGCAAATTTCTAAGAAGTCAGCTATATATTTGCGTCTAAATGCGAAACTAATTAACAAGATTTAGGTGAATAGAAGGTAAAATTAATTGGAAGGCGAGTGATTACATATTTCTTTATTCTGCCTCTTTTTGCCAAAGTTCGCTTTTGCGAACTTTTTCAAAAGCAGCTTTGAAAATGATTCGAGGAGCATTTTCCACAAATTTGTAAAAAAAGAAAGAAAACAGCAACGACAGATCCAAACTAAATGAAAAAAGGGAGAAAAAGTAGAACAACATGAGGAAAGATGGGGGAAGAACCACAAGTTTATACATACAATTTCTAGTGTTGTTGTCCGTGGCGTTTTAAGAATTCGAGAGAGGATGTTTATTTGCTTAAATCCGTAAAAATTAATTTGTACCCAATTCGCGTGCCACACGGGCCGGAGGAAAACCACGGTAATACCTACCAACCCTGATACGATAGAAATTTATCGAAGAAATCATATTGCTGTTCGGAAGGTTGCCTCAAATGAAACGGATCCATCTGAAAAGTTCTCTTTACCAATATGTTTTGAGCTTCTTCTTCATATCCTCTCTACCTTTTTTCCATCTAACGAATTTGTTCTATATTTTTTAGAGGATGTAAATATATTTTGCAGCCATATCACGAAACGAATAAAACCTTAAAGTAATTGTTTTTATGTGGAAGAAATAATCAAAATGGAACAAAGATGGCTGGGATGAAGAATTTTGACACGAATTGTAAATGGCTACAAAATATTAGTTTGTCACGATAGAGAAGCATAAGAGAGGCAGTACTAAACCAGGCAGGGAGAAGTTTGGCTATGTACGGTAAAAATTGACTCGAATTTTTAATGACTACAAAATCAGTATCAGATCAGTTCGTTAGCTAAATATATGACACAAAGGAAACATTACTAAATCATTAGGGAAACATATTGGCTACGGATGGTGGAGATTAACAACGATCGTAAAAAACTGGCTAAAAAATATAAGTTGAGTGAGAAACTAACACAAGAGAGGCAACGAGAAGGAATACAGATGGCTAGGGGACGACAAAACTAACAGATTGTAAATGACTACAAAATATTGGTTTAGTAAGATATTATGAAACAAAGGAAACAAGAATAAACAAAGGAGAAAAAAATGGCTCCGGTTGGTGAAGACTGACAAGGAACTAGGCTATAATAAAGCAGGGACAAGCATGGCCGATGAAAGTAAGGTACTCTTATGTAGATTAAAAGAGGCTTTATTACAATTCAAAAAAACAACGCGAACTGGCTGCGAATAACATACCGCACGATGTAGTTGTATACATAGAAATTACCTGTTTCTTGCGTGTTGCACAAAACATTATTCTCTCACTTTCACACGTTCTCATTAGCAACACTACATCATGCAATCTCTTTTTCACATGCACGTTCTCATTATCACTTTTTACGCTACGGATATAGGGAACATTGACACCTATTTTAATTGAAGGAATCGAAAAGAACTTGACTTCAACTAACACTTAAAGTTGAACGATAACTCTCCAGCGGTGCAGATAGTGACGTGGCTCCTTTAACAACAAGTTTTTAAAGTCTGATTTTCCCAACCGCTAGTCCTACATATCTTCCTTGGTTTCTCGATCATCGTACAACAATTAAAAACATTCTCCATTTAAAAGTGCCGGTGACACGAAATCTTTTTTACGCAATAGAAGAAAAATAGAAGAAAAATAGAAGAAAAATAGAAGAAAAATAGAAGAAAAATAGAAGAAAAATAGAAGAAAAAATAGAAAAATAGAAGAAAAATAGAAGAAAAATAGAAGAAAAATAGAAGAAAAATTTCAAAAAACTTAAAACTCGGTTTTTTCGGGCCCTAAAGTGCTGTCATTTTGTCTTAAATGTGTCCCGTTGACTGGTAACGAATTAGCACGATGACGTAGAAAACTGTGAAAACTCTCACATCTCTGGAAATTTTGCATCAGTCAGCGTTGAAATACTCTTGAAACAATGTCCGATAGCGATGTATACCTATCTTCAGCAAGCTCCACCGAGAGTTGTGATACACTGTACTCAAGTACTCTTCTACGAAGGAGAACAGCGTGCATCAAACGAAGATTTCAACGAAGACTGACAAAGACGGTTTCTCGCCTGCGGTGTTCAGATCAAGATTAGAGAAAAAACTTCCTATTACTGAATATCTATTTTGTTGCGTTTGAGTTTTGTTTTCTATGCCGAAATCTGTGTTAAGAATGGGTAGCTGTGTTCTTTTCTGTTGTCATAACATTTTATTCCTTCGCAGTAGGTGCTGCGAAGTTTCCCCTCGGTGAGTGCTCTAGAGTTTCATTGCTGTAGAGAAATCCCATTAGCAAACCAAGAGCTAACCTTTGACGTAAGAATTAGCTGTATCACGAGGTACGATGATTTTTCACCGAGAAGTAATCGGGCAGTGTCACTGTAAGTTGCTCCTTCCCTTAGAGATTGAAAAGGCAGAGGCTATCGTCGCGATCGTCTAACCGGCCAAAGTAAACGGAAAACGAGCGAATTTATAGTCATCTGGTTTAATTTAATCACAAATAGGGATTTTAATAGAGAAAAACTTCTTTAGCTTGAGTGCACAACTGCCATAAGACCCATTCCGCTTGAAAGAAACCATTGACATTAGTATTGTATATGATTATTTCGTATGCATCGACTTTCACACGGCACTTAGATTCGCTACCATCTTATTCAGTAAAATTTGTGTTTCTTTGTTCAGTGTTTCAGTGCTGTTATCACAATGACATTGTTACTGTAGCTACTTTTAGCTCGTGGGGTGGATTTTCGGAAACCTAGGTTTGAGAATACACGGCCCCTTCGACCTTGTGTTTATGCTAGTATCCGCCAGAGATTTCACACTGTTCAGGCAACAGGACGCTCAGCTCAAGAAGGGGCTGAAAATTAATTAAAATTGATGAGTTTCTGTAATTAAAATATGATGGAAAGTACAATTGGTAGGTTTTCATACAATAGGAAAAGTGCAAATGTGGATAGACAAGGAGTATAAGTACAACTCAAGCGCGTGAAATAAACAACATTAGGAAGTTCACCATTCTTCGCTCGCGAAATGTCAGCTGAAAAGAATGTTGAACAATCGTGTACGGTGTGAGGACAGGCCCCATGGTCAGCATCCTTTTTAGCTGGATTCTTTGGTTATCTTCCCCTGATTTGACCATTGGCATGTGTTCGTCGACACTGTAGAGTAAAAGTTTCCTCGATGTCGACGATCGAGACGTGTCCATTTTGGCCGTACAACTACATCCTTTAGAACGTAGGGTACAGAAATACCTGGTATATGTGTATTATTCTTGTAGCTAACATCATTTGGCGTTCCGGTCAGGCAAACGTTCGTCCTTTCTTCTAGATTTCTCCTTTCTCCACCGTAGTGCCGACGTGTCTTCATAGTTTTCTACGTCACAGCCATGTAACATGATCGTTTTGGTCGCGCGCTTGATGAGGACACTTTTTGGCCACCAAATCTTACTTTAAATGCACAAAAAATGGTCAAGAAGAACTTGCTAGGCGCTAAGGTCGATTATTTCTAATTTTAAATAGGCTATCAACCAGGAAATACAAAAAAAATTTCGTGTTATGAGCACTTTAGATGATCTTTTCAATGGCGTATAAAATCATGGAAAATTTTAGGAGCTGGAGTCTAAAACTACACCTCGTCACGAATTTCTGACGGATAATATCGATCTTACAGTGTTTTTCATGATCCAACGAATCTCTTGATATCGCCAATAATAGATCAAGGGATTAATAGAAGAATTGAGAAATACTAAGAAGCCTGATGCGTGGAACGCAATCAAAAATTGCACTCGAGATTCTTCAGCTAAAATCAAGATACCACAACACATGTCTGGGAGATAACAAGCTAACAGAACCACAAAGACACAAAAGGTATTGAGGCTTGATCGTTTTTCTCGAGCAAACTCAATTGCCCCTTCATGTGAGATCTGACTTTGTATTTGATTTTGATGATAATGCACAACCCTGTAAATCCGACAATAAGCGAATGCTGTCACAAGAAGCACCGATACTTCCATGAACACTCCCACGATGTCATTGTAGTTGGGAAGAAACATGTAAATGCCGGCGATAATCCCACTGGCAATCCATGATAATTTCACAACAATGATAGTTCTTCTTGGCGTCACTAGTTCTCGGTATCGTAGATGAAGTGACACCGCAAGAAGCCTGTCGATTGCAATGGCAGCAACCGATAGAACAGATGCAGTCACCAACCCATACAAAGAGAGCTGAGATATCGTCACAATAGAGGGACAAAATAAGTCCAAGTTGAAATTTCCATCAGCAGACATTTTCAACATTAAAGCCATAACAACACCAAACATTAGCTGAGCAAATAATCCAACAGTGAGATCAGAAACAGTAAGGCTCAAGAAAAGTGGTCGTAAAGTAGCGGGTATCGTCTTTGCTTTCATCAGGGCCCGTATGACGAGGACATTGCCCAGAACTGCGACCACAGCCCATAACAAATTTAAAACACAAACCACAAGCACGAAACGCCAACCAAAATGAAGAAGTTTGACGTAACCCTCCAGTTTTTCATTACACAATTGAACCACCATGTCTGTGAATTCCATTTGACGCTACTGGGACCGTAATATCAGTTACCAAGTATTTATAGTCTCTCAATTTGGACCTATAACGAGGAGTTTCATTTCCAAAAAAAAAAAATGATAACCGTAGTACTTTTCTCCTTCGCAAGAGATTTAATTGCCTAATAATTCTGGGCTCTTTAATGCGAAGGGCAAACTTCATTTAAATACGACGTCGTGTTTTTGCACCTGCGTCCGATAATGTGAAAAAGGCACGTAGTGCGCAAATGTCACGAAAGACGGAAAAGTCGTGATACACTTAATTTTCACTCTTGTTTTTTATTTTTTATCCCTAAAACAGCTCTTTTCGCAGGTAATGAAACCAGAAAAATATTAACACAGATCAATTGAAAGAATTCCCTCCTTAACGGCAACGTGAGTGAGCAATATGAGCACACTAACCGTGTGTAAATACAATTATGGCATTAGCATAAATGACGAGAGCATTTTCCGTTTCCCGGAGTTTTCGCGTTTGAAACGCAATGAGAATTCTTATGCGGGGTTTTATTGAGCATGTTACCTTTTCTCGAGCTCACGTATTAAGCAGTTATCCGCACATACATCTTCAACAGCGCACCATCACACCGGATAATCGCAACTTATATCTAAAAGACACTTGGATTGCGGAAAATTAAACACGTCTGATGTATAATAGGGTCAACTGCACTGGTTAACTCCCAATCCCTACAAAAAGTCCAAAGGTTAGGACACCAGTAGGCCAATATTTATATCACAATTTTTTTTCAATATCAGAAAAACCTACAGACCTCAGAGTTTGACCACCTATCAGATAAAGAATAGAAAAAATAGATGCTCTCGGTACCAATTGAGCAACAGAGAAGTTGCCTCTCACACAAGGCTCATATGTGTCAAGTGTCATGTTGGATTTCTGTTGGAGACGAGCTAGAGTACCTATCTGCCTTTAGTGATCTGTAACCACCTATAAATCATATTTTAACTCGATTTGTCCCGAGGATCAAAGAATTTTGACCCAATTCCTAATCAAAGCTGTTGAGTTTTTAAGTCCTCCGAAAATTTTGTGACCTAAAGGTATCCTGGTTTTCTTCTTCAGCAGTGACAAAGAGTATTTTAGCACGGCCATAAGACTGTGACAGTCTGATGTCAGCAGGATCCCGGTTTCGAACCGTGGCCCTCTTTAGCTGTTTATCGCTATTGATCTGTATCCTTTAAAACCTAATTTTCCTTCAAGCTTTTTTCCTTTGTATTTAGAATTTGTTATTTAAATAAAGCAGTTTTTAGACTATTGTTTTTGGACCGTCATTTCAATTGCATGACTAACGATGAAAAAGGAAAGATTTTTCACGTTGATATTGAATTATAGCATGCAAATGAATTAAAGTACACCGTAAAAGCCAAGACGTAGCATTTGGTCCTTCCGGCCACTAGTGTGCGTAGTTATCGTTGTGAAATAATTCATATACGTCTTTCCTGTCTTGTTTACAATTTAATATTTTCCTTTCTCCCTCTCACGTCCCCATGAAGCATCTAAACATTTATTAGGGTTCTGTAGTCGGACCCTTTTATTCTAGTACACCAATTTTCAAGTACAATTTTCTATCTTTTTGAAAAAAATTTTCATTGTACAACTGCCACATGTTTAACTGGGAGTGCTGTCTTTACAAAATCGCCATTTTCTAGTTATGTAAATCAATAAATATATGCGTCGATTCTACACAATTAATCCGTCTCAAGGTATTGAAGACGTGCTCTGTTTATGCGAAGTTATTTACATATTTAAAGACCTCTTCGGCAGAAAACCTGGCTTTGTCAAGAGTTGTTCATTCATTTCACTTTAAAAGGCTCATTTAATGAAAATTCATGGTCTAAGTCAAATTCTCTTCAGCCGGAAGAAACACTGCCGCCGACGATATCTATGTTTTTGACCGTAACATGATTGGTCATGAAATGGCAAAGCAAATAAAATGTCAAAAGGTTAGCATGCAAATCCACTTTCCCACGACCCAGCTGCAGTTTTCACGTTGTTGTGAATACAGATTTATTAAGGTACGATGCACTCTTAAGTGTTCACTTCTCTTTTAACTTTCAGCGCGTCTAAGGATTCGTTTTTGACATCAATACCAATCGCTTGTTTCATTTTACGCTGTCATTTATAAGACTAAATTAAATCGCAAGTAAATATGTTCTGCCGAAAGTCTCACATTATAACCAAACTATAGCTGTGATGGCGACAGTAAAACGTAAGGATTCATTCCGCATGTTTTTGTCTGGTATTACGTCTTGTATTTAGGAACCTTTCATTAAAAAGACAATTCAGTTATAAAAACTAAATCAGTGGCTGTGTTCACCTGTTCTATCGATTGGTTAATCCTCAGTGCCATTTTACATTTGTGCCATTTATGCCAACGAGCAAATTAATCGTGAAAGCGAAGCACTTGTTCGGAGAATTGTTCTTGTTTCTGGAACTTGAAACTCCACATGGCATTGCAGCTATTTCATCCAACAATAATTATTTGTCAGGTATTCTGTAGCTAACTTCTTATCTTATCATCTTAATGGTGCACGAGATGTAATGTTTTCACCTGAGCTATTGATTATACAGCTTCCAATTCGTTAGAAAAGAATGAGAAGATAAAGATGGTAATTTAAGCTTTTTTCTTTGTTTGGTGGGAGATGTTTCGAGATGAATGTTTTCCTTCAATCTCTCTTATTCAGAAAACTAATATAATCACTAACTAATCATTTTCCTTGCCAAATTATTATTTATAACAAGAAGCAGATTTGAAAATATTGACCTTTTCGAATCTTGCGGACAAATCTAGGCCAATTTTTGATCCTTTACCGTCACCATAACAATATTCCGGTTTATTTCAATATTTTTTCCTAAATGCATACAACCATCCAAGTTCATAGTTTTATTGCTACTCCTTCCGACCTTAAAAATTATGTCTTGTCAGTTACACTTCACTTCTTTGAAACCAGCTTGTTCTCGGTTCTTGAATTGTCAAGTTCGTCAAATCGATTGTTCCATTTCTATTTCTTCTGCATGCCTTGGTGAAAATCTTTTTCACAGTTTCCCGAATCTCGCGATATCGCCAGCAATAGACCACAAGATTCACTGAAGAGTTGAGATAGATCAGCAAAATTGTGACATAAAAAGCTGTTATAAGTGACATACTGAATTCGGAGGTCACTAACAATATCCCGCAAAATATATTAGGTAAATAACATGTGACAAAAACAGCATAAACATAAAATGCATTATACGCCGACCTTTTAACCCGTCCCACTCTCATTTTTTCCAAATCTGTCGTAATTTGACATTGTGCTTGTATTTGATTTTGATGATACCGGGCAACTTTGAAGATCTGAAAGTAGGCAACACTTGTCACAAGGAGCCCCAAAACCTCCAGTACCACAGCTACGATGTCATTGTAGTTTGGTAGCAAGATGTAAACCAATGCCATTAACCCGCTGGTCGACCATAGCATAAACAAAACGATGAGAACACGCTTCATTGTCACAAATTCACGATAACGGAGGTGCAGTGAAACAGCGAGGAGTCTGTCAACGGCAATGGTGACAATGGAGCAGAAAGATGCCACTGTGAAGAAGTACGCTGCCATTAGGTACACTGTTACGAAAACGGGACATAGAAAGTCGAGGTCGTCATTTCGCTCTGATGTTTTGTATAATATAACCACGATAATAGTTCCGTGCATGGGTTGCACCAGTAATCCAACAGATAGATCAGAAAAAGCTAAGCTCAAAAACATTGCCTTCAGTGTCGCTGGCATTGACGCCTTCAATAAAGCACGTATAACAAGGAGATTTCCCAGAATTGCAACGATACAAAATATAAAGTTGAGCACGCAAAGAGACAATAAAAAGTGATTTTGGTGTTCCGCCAATCGGACAAGTTCTTTAAGGCGTGTGACACAAATATTAATATACATTTCTCATGAATTATCGGACTAAGCTGAAATCCAGAAATGATGTGATCCTCGCAGTTCAAGGGAGACTTGATATTGTCGCTTATTTGCTGTTCTCCGCGGTTCGCATATTCGCCACATAAATTATTCACTGGACTTAAAGTTATGTTTATTTAAGAGGATTAAATGTTTAAGTAGTTGAAAAAAGGCTGGCATTGTGTCCTCATGGCGAATTATTTTACCTCTCTTCGGCGACTTTAATATTGTTTGGTTTGCCAAATTGCCACAGGAATGCGGTGTCCCTTTCAGTTTGTCGAGCTGATGAAGGTAATCCGAAAAATATTTATGCTGAATAATTGAAGTAAACAAGACTATTCAAAGACGGCTCTGAGTTTGTGATCTGTTGTTCCATCGCATCTACTGCGCAAGCGTGGAGCTTCGTATTCAAAATTGTGCCTCAGACGTTCTTTTAGCACCGACGCCTCAAACAGAAAAAAAAAGTGTTAAGAACAAATTACAGTTCGCCTGTGTATACAACTTGTATAAACGACAACGGTTCATATAATTAAAAAACAAAAAACTATCGCCTAAGAATTATTGCTAGATCTTGGTTTAATATTGAATCAGGGGATTTTACAGGACATTTCTCTGTAAACATATACAATTGCAAAAACGTTTATTTTAACATACAGATGGGTGCGTAGCAAAACAAAACCACAAATATGGATGAAAACCAGGCAGGTGACTCAGCTTATTCAAAAAGAAAAAAAAAACATTAATAAGCATGGTTTACTAAAATTTACAAGGACACAAGAAACAATTTTCGGCCCTTTTGGCCTCGGAATTATAATTCCAAAAGTTGTAATCGTATTGTAACAACCTTCCTCTTTAGTTTTAGAGTTTTAGAGATCAGTGATAGATATGAGAACACCGATTTTATGTCGGCTTTGCAGTTTGTTTTAAGGTAAAATGAAAACTTTTAAATTTATTCATTAAATCAAAAAAATCGAATGTTCACCTACTCTACAAGAAAATCAGCATTGACAGATGGTGTTTGCAGTGATTGACACTGGCATACTCTGAGAAAAAAAACTCTGAGTGCCCCTGATAGGAGTCGAACTTACCACCTTCTGAATTGTATTTCAGCATCTATAATATGTAATTGCTTTTAATGCACTCTATTACTAAGAATGATGTTCGATGCTGGAGAAATCAAGTCCGGTGATTTATTTACTTTTTCATGATACCCACTTTGCATTTGGAGAAACCATAATTGTGCACGCACTTAAGATAAGTAATAAAGATTGTATAATTTGACGCGAATGGCCGTCGCATAAAGATTTCCTTTTGGAAACGAAACAAGATTATTATTTTGGCCTCTTTCCACTCGCAGGAAATTTTACAATGGTATACTCATCCAAATTAATGTGTGAAAGCTAGCCAGAGGAAAGCAAGGTAAATAGTATTAACTACGCTGTTATTCTGGGCAGAAAATCGTCTCAATTATGCGAATTACTTCCACTTTTTCCTTTAAAATTTCAAAATTTATTCGAAAATAAAAGTGTTTTTCCTAAACATGTCGTTAAAATTGTGCAAACTTAAATTGGTAGAGGCGAAATGGCTTCCGACCGCAAAACATATGTCGCGCGATTTCTTATGAAGTTTCAGAATTCTTCTCTTCGAAACAAAATTTCTTAAAAAATTTTCTTCAGAAGTCAACACTTTGGAAAGGATCGACTACGTACAGGCTCATTTGATAATGAAAAGTATAACTTAACTTATTTCTTTAGATTCCCACTCATGATGCGCGGACAATCATCATATGGTCCTTTCAGGCAGAAAAACACCCTTGATTGCAAGTGTGAATGTAACAATGCTTGGTAATTGTACGTTCAAAGTGATATCTAAGGCTTAAACTGCGTCATTTCCATACACCTTCCTCCCACAAAAACTAAAGAGGAAGTCCAAAAAATAAGTATTGAATATACTGACCTTCTACTTTTGGCAGTATTTTTACAGCCATCCAGTAGTATTACAGAGACAATAAAGAAAGAAACCATTTTCAAAGGGGAGTGAAAATTTTTCGGCGAAACATTTACTCATATTGTGATGGCTTTAATTAACCTCTCTTAACAAGTCAAGAAGCGAAGAGTTACTTGGATGTAAAAAAAAATAAGTTTTGATCGATCTATGCGCGTGACTCATACGTGTTGATTAATTTTTGCACAACCTTTTTTTCAGTTGGCAACCTTGAGGTATGATTCAAGTCGAATTTTTACCCAGAACTGAAAAAGAAGCATTTTGTTAAGGCCTTTTTATTAAATGCGTCAAAAACACTAGGTAAATAAGGAGTGGTGACAGATAATCAACACATTCTATTCGATCAAAGAAAAGAAACTGTAATGACGTAAAATGTGCAGTAGTAATAGATTAAAAGTAACAATTAAGCTTTTAGCTTTATAATATCGTCGCGTTCAGGGACCCTTCGCAGCTCGAGATGGACGCTACTTTCTGTAGTGAGAAATTAGGGCAGCTGACTGAAGTCGTCAAGTCACAACCAGCCTTCTCCATATGTGTGATTGTACTAGACCTACTCATCTCCCCTTTAACAATACTCGGAAACGCTCTCATCCTATGCGTGTTATGGAAAACCTCATCAATACCTGATAATATGAAGAGATTGTTTTTAAGTCTTACCTTATCCGATTTTGCCGTGGGAGTTCTTATTCAACCAGCTTCTGCTGTTATTATCACTGCGGCGCTGAGCAAGGTGAAAAATGAAAGCAACAACTTGGACATTTTCTGTCCTCATCTTTTGACGGCAAAGATGTACGCTTTATATTTCCTGGTGGCGGCATCGTTTTTCACGACTGCCGCCATCGCGTTGGACAGATTATTCTCCGTTTTCTTGCATTTAAGATATAACCAACTCGTCACAGAGAAACGCGTACGAGTTGGCGTGGTACTAATATGGTTTACGAGTGGACTTGCAACTTTAGCATATATGATACTTCCCAAAAATAACGAGATTGTGGCGGTGGCCTGCCAAACTACAGGAATTTTTGTGATGGCTATAGCGTACATCCACCTCTTCAAAATCGTTCAATATCACAAAAATCAGATATGGTGTCAAACGCAAACACTAAATGCGGCAAGGGAGAAAAAGTCCACCTTAAATGCTTTTTATGTCTTTTTGTTATTTCTTTTATGCTATCTCCCGCATTTGATCAGTCGTGTTATTCTGGCAATTTTTAAGGTACAATCGTCAACAGTAACAGCCTACTACGCCACAGGCACTTTGGTTATCTTTAATTCGTCTTTGAATCCAGTTATTTACTATTGGCGATATCGCGAAATTCGCAGTCTTGTGAAACTTACTGTAAAACGCTTTTTTTGCATGAATGATCGTGCATGAACTGAGCCGACCAAGGATCCAGTGAAGCTTTCATGAAAGCCTCAGTGCCTTTTTGATCGATCACTGAAGATAAACAACCATACAAAAGGACTGACATCGGATAATAACTCTTAAAATCTAAATATCAGTTATTGATGCGATATCTCCTGTTACAAAAACTAATCTATAGTCTTCCTCACGACGGAAATAGCAAAACATGCAAATATACCCTTCTTTTTTCGCATTCGCATCTTTTCGAAAACTTTAGTTGCCATAATGCTCTCATGTTTTTAAGCTTATCAACTTTATTCCTATTTTTTCTTCGCCTTTGTATCATTAATAGAGAACATACAGTTGGAGAAAAAAGTTTACGGTTTCTAGTTTCTCTACTTGTCTAGAATTACATCATGCGGTGTCACCCCTTTGAATTGGCAATCAAACAGAATATAAGGAAATTAAAGATAAACTATCGGACAAAACTGTCAGTTTTCGTGCTATTGTTTTATTCTATGTGCAGATCAATGTGCTCCATTGCCACCATGACCCGATTGACGAGAGTGCTATTTCTTGATCACTGTTATCATGAGAATGCAGGTGGTCAAATCATCTTGAAGTCTAAAACAATGTTAACAGACGTTTGATATTCTATAACAAAAAGCATGACAGACACTGTTAAAGGATCGGTCAGGTTTGGCTTGGGATAACAATAAAAAATCAGCCTGATAAAATTTCCGCACAGCCCTATACTGTTGTAAAACAAATCTGTTTTCCCAATGCAATGTATTGTTTTTGTCATTGTTTTCTCTATCCAAGAACTGAATGCAAAATGTTGGATGGGGCTGTTCGGAAACCAATCAGCCTCCACAGTGTGTTTACATTCTCACAGAAACGAAATTACATTTTACTTCTCTCAATAACAACGCATTTGATCGCTAGAGATTTTTCTTAGGGGAAATGTAATCAAACCGGCCCGATAAGGAAAACAAAGCCATGAATTTCATTGACGATATGACATGGCCGCTTGTAACGAATTTCCTCTTTCAAAATTATCACCACATGAAGACAGATCTGCATTTACTCGATGACTGGTATTGTTCTTGTTGCTATATTCGTATAAATTATATATTTTAAATTTCCTTTATAAGCATCGATTGTTCTAGTCACCTGCTAGTAAAGTTAGGAATAAATTGGACTATTGTGCGAAGAACAAATCATGCTTCCTGTTTGATATTGCCTTTCTTTGTATGCATGACACAAACCATGTCGTTAGCCAATGGATTATGTAAGCCGGATGCAGCTTATAATAAACTCAACAATACCGAAATCACCTACACGCTAGTGTTCAGGTTTCATAACGCAGTAACAATTGATAGGAAAAAAAAACCACAAGAAACAAAATTATTATTTGCGCGCGAGTTTGTTGGGCGAGTTATTCTCCACTATTTTCTACTGAAAACGTGATGGCAACAGACACTGAGTGAAATACATTTAAAAGACTATTTCCGGAACGATCACTTTATTACTTTTTGTCATGATATAGAAGCAAAGAAAATTTAATTATTTTCAGCCTGAAAATGATTTGTCATCAGACACGATTGCTATAAAAATCACCCTTATATCCGCTGCACTCTTTTATATCTTCTACAGCCAACAAATTTCCTTAAGGGGTTGGAGGAAAATCGCGAAATATTGCAAAACTCTCAATAATTACGGAAAACGGCTTTTTGCACGAAGCGAAATGAATTCCTCTTCAATTTAATAAGTTACTTCTAAGGACTGTAAACAAGTTCGAATAACGAACGTATGCAAATGAATAGCATGATAGTTACCATTCTCTAATGATAATAATACGTCTGAAAACAGATCTGTTGTAGCTGAGATAAAAAAAAGCAACAAAAAGACAAATAAAAGTGTGAGGTAGGAAATCTCGAAATTTATCTCTATGAGTATTTACAAATCACACAACTACGTTTTATAATTTAGCTTATGATACAATTAGAGATGTTTCAAATTTTGAGACAATTAATCTTGTAACAATGCTGATCCTAGTAGTTTGCAAGAGACATGTCATTCATGAACATTGCTATGGCCAAATTCAACACAGAGTTCTCAGTAACCCAGTGTCGGAGCATCGGCGCGTGGACTCCAAAGATATGTGAATCGATTCCTCATGGGGAAGTACATCTTTCTCTTTTTTCCAACGCTCTTTGCGAAAAAAAAGAATGGAATATTCCAATGTTTTGAATCAAATATTGGATTCTTATTTCCTCCGTTCGCTTATAATTTTCGTCATCAGTTACGATAAGTCGACGTTTCCCTTAAAGCTGTTTTTCACAAATTGTCGAATCTCGCGGTATCTCCAACAATACACGAATGGATTTAAAGACGAATTGAGGAAAACCATGAATCCAGAGATGTTATAAGCCACTTGAAAAGATGTCCTTGTGTGATCAACCATCAAAAGAATACTTGAAAATAATAGTGGAAAGTAGCAGGCGATAAAAACTACGTATACGTATAAGGTATTTAGAGCTGATTTTTTCTCCCTGCATATTTGGACAGCATTTTGGTCTTGAACCTGACACTGAGATTTAATTTGATTCTGATGATATTGAACGGCTTTGTAAAGATAAAAATATGCCACGGTTGTGATAGTAAATCCAATGATTTCAGTTATAACAGCGATCAAGTAAGAAAGATTGGACAGTGAAATAAACACCGATGCTCCAAAAGCTGCACCTAGCCAGAGAAGAAGCAAAAGAATCCGTATTCGCTTTGGCGTTACAAGTTCTTGATACCTCAAATGTAAATAAACAGCTAGAAGCCTGTCCAGCGCAATGGCGGCGATGGTCATGAAAGATGCTCCTGCCACTAAAAACGTAACAAATAGATGAATTGTCAGGAGAGAAGGACACAAGAATTGACTGTTTCTCTCACTCAACTGCAACGCAATGATTGTGCCGTACATCGGTTGTAAAAACAATCCTACTGCAAGGTCAGAGACAGCAAGACTCAGAATTAGTCTTTTAAAAGACGCGGGTAGCGATGAGACTTTCAGCATGGCTCGAATTACAAGGACATTTCCAACAATCGCCACCGGTGAAAAGGCGAAGTATAATACACAAATAGACAACATAACTTTATGATGAAGGTCGACAGTGATGGCAACTTCGTTCAGTCGCCTCTTGCATTCTTCTTGAAACATGCTCATGTTTCAATCTCCTCACCCAACACGTAGTTTTTTTTAGATTCATTACTCGTCAAGGGTGATATGCAGGATGTCTGAGTTATTATCTTCTTGAGTAAATGCTACGCTAGCCGGCAACCAATCGCAAAGCAAAGTGAGTTCAGTTGTTTGAGAATCTCCACCTGTTTGGCTCAGGTAGATATATTACAATTTAGTACAATGTAAATAAAATTAAACTTGCCATTTCCTTGAAGAAAAGTTTCTAAGTGACAAACGAACAATTAAAAATAAATATACATTAACCTTCGCCGATAAATGAGAAAAATGAAACATTTGGAGGAAAAGGTTGATAAATTACCTTATATTCCCGACATGGAGAAAAGGAATGTACCAGAAAGATCAAGGATTATTAAAAATATTTTATTTTTCAAGATAAATGGTACGACTGAGCTAGAAAAACCAATTACTCGTTTGTTTGGATAAAAACAAAGCGACCATCCTCAAGGGAACAGCAACAAACAAGGAAAACCACACGCGAAATAATTTAATTTATGTTTCAAAAGTCTCTTATATGTTCTACTGAAAGGCTTTAAAGCACGTCAAAGCTCTTAACCTCCACTGATTTACGCCAGCAACCTAGTAACCTAATAAACTAAAAAAAACAGCCTATCATCGAGATATTTAGCGCCAGAGAGGCTTCAACATTTTGTTCTAAGGTAGAACTTTCGAGAGAAGTAGCGGAAATGTCAAACAAAGCGGAATTATCGCGAGCTTATAATACATAACGGCGGAAACCAATTTATTTTTCACTACTCCAATGGGCAAGATGATAAACTGCGTTGCCTGCCAAGAAATCCAACCGAACAATTCATCAAATAAATAACAGGAAGGCTTTTAGGAATATATTTTTATCATTCACACGTAGGAAGGTCGGGAGTAGATTTCTTAATTATGATAAAAACATTTATATAGCGCTAAAAACTGTGCACATATTCGAAAGCGGTTTACATTTCATTACATCTAATACTGGACGCTTTCCTAAAAAAGAAGTGTTTCGAGTTGTTTCTCAAAAGTAGTTAAGCTGCTACAGGATCTTATTAGTAACGGAAACGACTTCCATAAGGCAGGTGCAGCATGAGCAAATGGGCGATCCAAAAGTGTGGAGCGATTGACCCGTGGAACGAAAAGAATAGGTTGTGTAGACGAGCGTAGAGTATAGTTGGAGGCAGGTGTAAGAGAAAAAAGATCTTTGATGTAGGTTGATGAGAGCCAGTGAGATGTGGTCACATTTCGTAATCTGGAAAATCACCCTAACTGCAGCGTTCTGAACCTTCTGTAAACGATTGATATTTAGGTAGACTAAAAAAAGAAGTGTTACTGTAATGAAGGATACAAAAGCATAACCTTAGACGGAAGGAAGGTTCTAAGACTGAATAATATGACATAGTCTTCGAAGGTTTTATCACCAATAGGGATACACTGTAAATAAAATAAGAAAGATGGTAAGCTATAAGCTCGGTTAAGTAATGGAGAAAGAATTTCTAAAATCTTCCAATTCATTTCTTAAAATCTTTCTCTATGGATACTGCTCTTAACGATCAGATAAAATGAGTCAAACCATTCCAGAGCAGCGCTGGTGACTCCAAAATCTTGTTGCCAAGTATTTGAAAGAAAAGATTGTTCAATGGTATCAAAAGCAGCGCTGAGGTCTCGAACCTTTAAGAGAACATTTTCTGTTGAGTGATACTTTCGAAAGCCGGACTGGAATTTAGGGTGAGGAGCGTTTTTTCACAGTTATTGATGAATTGTTTATGAGCTGCCTTTTCCACTACCTTGAAAATGAATGGAAGATTGTTGACGGGACGAAAGTTTCTGTAAACAAATCAAATTTTTGCTTTTGTAGTAGAGAGATAGCAATAACAGTTTTGCAGTTTTTAGGAACATGACCACTGAGGTGAGATAAATCAACATCTCAGAGATGGAGGCGGCGGAAAGCGAGGAAAAGCTCTCCAAGATTGCTTTAAGGGCAATGGGGAGCTGGTCATTAGGTTGCTTCGAAATAAACCTGTGAAGTGATGAATCGATGACTGTGAATATACAAAAATCATATGGGTGAAAATGGAAACTCACACGCCAAGATCACGTTCGTGATTTGTTTTAGCTCCATTCATATCGTAAACAGTGTTCAGTGCCTTGGTTTTACGTGTGATGGGCTGGTGGTGGCTTTTCGTCTTATTGAATTCTAAGCCCGATTCAGTGGACCAAGATCCTACATTACTCAAGTCCGTCTGTAGAGCAAGTGCGTCATCGCTGGATCTAATTTCTTTGTACAATTTGGTATCGTCTGCGAACATTGCGGTTTCGCTATCGTTATGGGTTCATCACTTCACGAGTTTATTTCGAACCAGTATGGATTCAAATCCCTTAGGAGGCTGAATTTTTTTCCCAGGCCTTATTTTCACTATAGCTTAAGTAGTTTTCCATATTTTCGAAGATCACTGTCATATTTATTTGTTAAAGTTTCTTCGTCTACACAAGCCAAATCTCCTTTTCTATTCATATGTCACGCTTCGCCTCACAGTCGCTTAAGAATATTTGCATCAGTTTTAACACGAGGATCGTGTTAAAACCCCAATCAGTTTTTTTTTTGCCTCAGAGCAATAAATTCAGCACGCATTTCATGTTTTGTGTTTTCGACCGATAGAAATTAAAAATGTTACGCCGTAAATTCAATAAGTTTACTTTTATCTCCGAAAAGCACAGGATTATTTTCGTCCGCAGAGGTATTACTGATCGATCTAGCCGCCAACATCTACATAAGATAATAAAACAAAATCAATGAGCTAATAAACTTAAACTGTTCCGCACGTTCTTTTCCACATCAGATCGTAAACAATCGAAGTGATTGACTGTGTTGGGTTAGTGCATGATCTCGATATCTTTTCTGTTCACTCCAAAGGTAGCATTAAAGCAACGATACTATGCATGAACTGTAAAAATCAGTTCTTAAGATAATAATACGCGAGTTTAAGGTGGAAACTATATTTCTCAGTCAAGTGTCTCACAGCCACTTTTATTCCATCTCACTATGAATGTATTTTAAAGAACATGATATAAGAAGTATAGTTTACCAACGCACGGGCCTAAATAAATGAGTCTGGGTCCTCTGCCTATTCCAGAGGCTCCCCGAGGTTTTTCATGATGATCTCAGCTGTTGATAAACAGCGAGTGGTCTGTCCAGTGGCGACGATAGCCTTGAAAGATGCTCCTGCCACCGAAAACGCATCGAATAGTTGAATTGTCAGGACAGAAGGACGCAAGAACTGACTGTTGCTCTTACTCAAGTCCAATGCAATCATTGTGCCAGACCTGAGTTATAAAAACAATCCCACTGCGAGGTCAGGGACAGCAAGACCCAGAAGACACTTATTAAAAGACGCGGGTATCGATGGGAAATATAATATGGCTCTAATTGAAAGGACATTCTAGCAATAATAACAAGGAGAGGTAAAATGCTCAAAGTGACAGCATAAATTGATTATGAAGGGAGACAGTTTTAACAGCATCGTTCCGTCGCCTTTTGCAAACTTCTTCAAGCACGCTTATTTTTCCACTACCATACCTTACACGCAGTTTGTTACTTATTATTCTTCAAAGCAGGATGTTCATGTTACTCTAATTTAGAACAATCGCAAAGTAAATTCAATTAAGATTGGTAGAGGATCTCCAACTTTTTAGTTTAGATCGATATATTACAAATGCAAAATTTAAAAAACATCTATATTTAGCGAGCGAGATTAGAAAAAATGTTGATAAAATCACCACATAAACCTTGGAGAAAAGGAGGGGGTGACCAAGATGACGAACACAGTCAGAAGTATTTTAACTAATTTGTCAAAAAAAATGGAAAGACACATCCCGGACAAAAAAACAATTCGTTTCGTTATATGAACGAAAACAAAAGCAGCCGACATCAAGGGAACAGCAACAAACAAGGCAAACCACACGCGAAATATATCTAATTAATTTTACTGCGGTCTCTTCCGAAAGGCTTCATGCCCCGGAAAGCTCTTAAATTAAATTGATTCGCATTTGCAATCTGGAAAACTGAAATGAAAAGTTTGTTGTTGAAATTAGAGAGTTGACCCGCAGTGACAGAGAGGATAACAACATTTTGCTCTGTGAGGAGAAATTTCGAAGAAATAGGAAAAAGGTGAAACAGAGCAAAATTGTCCTTGCTTGTAGGGGGCTTATAATAAATAAAGGTGAAACTAATTTTATTTTACAGCTCGGATGGGAAAAATAATAAGCTGTCTTGCCTGCCAAGTAATCGACCCAGTTGTTTCATCAAATCAACAGCAGAAAAGCTAGTGAATTTTTATTAGTATGTCATATGCAAGAAGGCTGATAACACACGCCAAGAAATACACCTGTTTGTGAAAATGCAAAATTTACGAAACAGATTAAAAGAAAGTTTCGTCTCTTCTCTTACTTGATTTTTTTAAAAATATTGTCAGACTCATCAGATGACGTGAGTAATTCACTTGTTTTAAGCCTGAGCCTTGATAGGAAATGTCTATTTTCACTGAGCGGGAGTTGGCATATGAAGGAAAACCAATTTCCTTAATAAATATGAATGTGCGATAGATGCCCTTTGATTGCTTTAGCAGTTTATCGGGTAATTTAATTAATACATACATTCTTTTAAAGCCAAAAATAAAAATTGATACTGATAATACCCCTGGTATCTTCGAAAAAAGGTGAAATGAATGCGCGGTCTCAAATTCTCCCAAAAACTTTGCTCTGATTCATTCGTATCACATTAGAATCCTGTTTTAAGCAAATAAATCTCTCACTGAAAGATTAAACAATTTTTCTAATCATTTAAGGATCGTTGCATTTTAGTTTTTAGGTCACGGGAAGTTTCAGGGTTTGCTTAAAATTTGGGCATTCAGACTTCTGAGAAATGTATAGAAATGTATGCTGAGGTCAAAAGCTTTCTTTAGTGTCGTTTGGATTAAAGGCTGAAAATTTTAATGAAGACCACTTATAATTTTTTCTTGAACAATGAAGCTCTATACACCTATTGGAAAACATTATAAATTACACCTTGAAATAAATATTGACAACATTTAGCTTCTAGTTAATTAATCTCGGAGACACCGACTCGATAACCGGCAGATTTGCTAACTTACTCGACATGTTTCCTCAAGTCGTTAGCAACGTTTCCGGGTGTGGAGATCTACTTTTCAAATTGAATTGCTTCAAGACGGTAAGTTAATGGAGCTTATCGCTCTGCATGGATTTTCATTTATATTCCTCTTTAAGTTGAGGTCGTCACTTCAAAAATTAACTCAACAGACATTTCAAATATTGAGTAAAGTACTAAGGAAAGATCTCTTGATAAAGCGTTCGGTTATGGCGGGAATATTCAAGCGTTTAAAGAGGGCTCTAAAACAGTTGCATCAAAGACGTGACACTCTGAAATCCAGAAAACATAGCTACAGTCCACGGAGATCTTTCATTTACATCACACCCACAGGATCTTTAGAGAAATCGTTTTGTAGAGCAGTGGTACATTCGTCTTTACTATCCACAGGTACTTTTGGTCTCATCACAACTTCTGGTTCTGCCTCTTCGTCACTCTTCGTGGTTGCTGTAACATTTTGACCTGACCTCCGTCGACAACAAATTACCAACAGGCCAATTGCGATTATCAAAATTAGGATTGCAGCACCAATCACGACGTAAAGGTACCAGTCGTTTGTATCCTTTTCCTCTTTATCTGTACGAGCTGGGGTAAATTGAAAGTTGTTCAATGAGAGGCAAGTACATATGAGAGACTTTCAGAGGTATTTTTATTTGCGTTTGAACCATTGCCACCACTGCTATTAGTTCACGCACTCGCAAGAAGATAACGCAGCTCCTACCATCCACTCACATTAAAATGATCTCAATTGGCATCAAAACTATCAACACTACACCACCGCCATCGTTGCCAATATCGCCACTGCCACCGCAGTCAAGCAATAATCATCACTACCACCAATGCTGCGAACACAGAGAACTTTAATATCGCTACCTACCCTCCTACTATCAAGAGTATTACGGGGACACCGCTTTCACAACCGGCAAAACATACACCACCAACGATACCAAAAGAACTGTTAACTGTTAATGCCACTATTTCCTCCGCTACTACTTCTGCTACTACGAATTGCTCAGTTTTTGTACGACACAACTCGATTAGACGGTGAGATTAGATGGATGATAACAAAATATTGATGCATAACAGATCGGCCGTTGCAAAAGGTAATCAAGCAGTAAACTGAGAGTTTAACCTACCCTTTAAACATACAGGAATGCTGCCATTCCATTAGCAGAACGAGGTTTCTCCATCTATGCTGCATATATCCTTCATCGCAAAGAAAGCTATACACTGCACCTGATGTGGATCCATTACCATCAATACGCCCGTGTTCTAGAGTGCGGTTCATTTGAGAACAATCTTAAAAAAAGAATATATAGCTGTGTTAGTGTACAGCTCTCTGATGTATTGATGTTCTTCGGTACGCGTATAAACTCATGTGTAGGTAAGTAAATTTAACAGTAATAGAGCAGTGATGCCGTCTGCTTTAGATAATTAGATAATTAGATATACCTTTAATATAACTGGGAAGGCTGGCGTTCCATTTTCCTTCTGCCGTAAATTTTTTAATCTCCGTTCACCAAATAGTGAATATTCTTGATTGCAGCTAAAACTGTACTCGAATCCTTGTACTGAGCTCGTACCATTAACGCACCCATGTAGTATGGAAAGGGGAAGCTTTGGACATTCTGTGAGAACAGATATATGAAGATTATATTCACGGTAATATGCAGGGAGAAAACAAAACAGATCAAAGTATGATTAAAAAAAGAATGAAATTGACATGGTAAAGCAGATTACCATGTAGTTAACAGAAAGTGCTGCATAGGCGGAATTTAAAATAATCGAACTCTCATGTGTCCATACCTTTGAGATACGTGGGAACGGAGCCATTCCAGTTTCCCTGATCAGTATTTTGAAGTGTATTTGCCCCCACAAGAGAGTACCCTTCCTTATAACTGAACCTGCACTGAGATCCCTCCACCGACCCACTCCCACCAACAAATCCATTTGGTATGAATGATGGAAAATGAGGACATTCTGAAGAAAGAGAAAATAATGTGGAAAGTCATTCCTTCAAAGGAACTCGTTAGACCATGGTGATCTAAATTCTTGAAGTTGATATTTGCAGTCCGCTCTATCCTTGCTCCTTCTTGATTTGTGATTGAGATGTTTGTGTTTATTCTGTCTTATGAAACATGATTTTAAATCATCTTAATAGCTGAAGGTTTAGTTCTCTACGTAAAAGATGACTCCATGTAACTTGACGTAGCTCTGATAAATTGCATCCATAAAGGATTTTAGCACAAGCCTAACTAAGGGGATAATTTTTAAAATATCTCAACCTGCATCTCTACAACCGAAAATAGCGTTAGTGTTAGCTGTTGTCATAACACCAGAACTCAACCCAACAAAACACGTGTTTTGCGGTTCGGAGAATGCATCACAAAACTTGGTCAACGATTCTTGCAATAGGTGTTGTAACCACACACCATTTATCCAGTTTAATTTGTGATAGATATGTTTACCTCTCAGACATATGGGAACACTGGTACTCCACTTTCCCTCATTGGTACAGTATAAAATGGCTCGGCCTACGAGAGAGTAACCAGGGCGACAACTAAACCTGTGATGTGATCCATGCAAGTGACCCGAACCACCGACTTCGCAGTTTGAAATTGAAGAAGGGAGCCTTAGGCATTCTGCAAGTGTTTAAGGCAACTCTTAGGTCATTTAGAACAAGGTTAGAAAGATCATGAGATTGCTAACAAAACCGCTACTACTAAAAAAACCATGCGATATCGATGAGGTAAGAACTGGGCATTCTGGATAATAGATATAGATTTGGATAAAATTAACCTCCATCTTTAAAATCCCAGCTGATGCCATAAGACAAAAAACCTGCAAACTGTAAAAGCTTCATTCGGGTAATAACACAGGAAAACTGCGATGCCGTCACCATGCTCTTCCAGCTGAGATGTGAAGCCACACAATCGGACTAAGATCAATCTGGGTCCATGACCAGAAGGGGGAATATGCAATTTCATGCGACAAAAGCCAAAATTACCAAGAGGTCGAAGAGCACAAAATATATACTTAATATCAAATAACTGCTTGTTACCTCTACAACAATTAATAGGCAATATATTATTATTATGTAAAGTGATTATTATTTGTACCTCTAAGACAGTTAGGGACACTGGCGTTCCAGACAACCATTTTAGTACAAAATACATTATCATGTCTATACTTAGACCTATGTAGATTTGCATTTAGCAGCGCGCTTTGTTTAGTTTAGGTCAACTTTTGAGCTGCGCTTGTAATTGGACAGTAACTGAACGGTGTAAAAGGATAGTTTTTACTCGCCACTCTCATGTCATTTCTGCGGTCTGCTATCAATCAAACTACTATGAATAACTCAATAACATTTAAGTATTTGTCTCTTCAACTTTTTCCATAGTTTTTTTGAGAGGTAAGAGGGTTTTTTTGTCGTAAAAATCTGTCTGCAAACGGACTCGCTATTAACAAATCGCACTACCGCGTTACGTTTACCCAAATGTTTATAGAGCGAATTTGACTTCACTCGGAAATACTGTAACATTTTAACTAGGTGGCATTGTCACACAGGAGAGTAACCCGCCAGCGCCTTTTCTAAGCGCGTGTTCAGCCTTTTCGTACATTTTTCGTTTTCGATTGTGAATTTGAGCGACCACATTTTATCCACTCCAACCCATGGCCATGAGCTATCGTGTCACCCACATGTCGCATAACACTTATTAAGTGGTTCACAGTTACCGGGTCTCGGTGCTTGATATCTTGAGCCGTCGTCTGAAGGCCGCTCCTCAAAGTACTTCCACAATTCCCAGAGTTGCGGCAGCAGTCTTCCCATAGCGCCTTATCATGAAAGAAATGGGATATCACAGGGAGACCAGCATTAGGATGAACGCGGTCAAGGGACCCTGCATCTGGTTGGCCCACTATTAAGTTGCCAAACCTGTTAAAGCAGCACTGCTGACCAGAGCCCGTAGCACTATGGAAGAAAAAAGTAAATCAGTGCTCCACACTCAATATGCATTTGAACGAAAACAAAACAAACTGGGTCCAGTGAATGAAATCGAGGCAAAGTTATCTTTCGTGTTTCAACTTTACATTGATTAGCCTCTCTCTCCTGCTTATCAGTTCTTTTTTTCCGTTGCACAGCGGGGCTTCTTAGGTTCTCCTGACGGCTTACTTCTTCTCAAAGAAAGGGAATGCGCGTGTGGGGCTCTACCGTTTGAATCTGGACTTTGAGACGCAAAATTCATTCTCTTTAAGAAGCATCAATAGATCAGTCCTAAACGTGACTGTATGGGAAAGCATATCTTCCAATAACAACACGTTAATCTGTTTCTTCCTAAAGACATATGGAATGTAGGTCTCTAATAAATACCTCTGAATGTGTCTGGATTAGGTTTCTTCTGATACCATTTGTTACATCTCCTTCCTGCCCACGGCGCATTCTTCCAATAAAAAACTTCACTCCACACTTACTGAGACTTAGATACGTTGCTGTAGCTGTTTTTTCTTGACACTCGAAAAAGATTGATAAAACGATCATCAATGTTCCTAGAAAATAATAGTGAAACGAGAGGATTAGCTTTGAGAAAAAACATCCAAACCAATCATTGCCTTGAATATCTTTTGACATCAAGGACCTGAATATTTTTGATAAGGAGTAAAAAACATGGATCCTCCTCCTTTCTTTTTACTCGCTCGACGGAGTTCGCAAAAAGGGGGACCGCTTGTAAGCCTTTTTGTTCCCTTACCGAGTGATGGGCCCATCTTTTTTTAAGGGCCCGGCGCAGTGATTTAAAAAAAGTATGGCTGAGTAAGTCTGAATAGACCGTATGCAGCTACTGCGTCAAACACCAAAGCACATCCAATCTTGACATAACGACACACTCGACCAGTGAAAGTTAGCCGCTGTGCATTCTCAGCTGCTTCAGGCATCTTTTCCTCACTTGAGCATGTCGGCTCTTCTTTGATAGGACGAACTTTCATCGCCAGGACCGACGAAAACAGTTTGGCCCTCACGGCAGCATCTCTCTTCAATAGTTCTTTGTCGGCCTCAGCTTTCAGCCGAAATCTTTGCGCGTCTTTCTTGACTTTGTAACACATTTCTTCGACAGCATCCAAGTTGTCAAAATACTTGTCAGCATTCTTCTCGAGTTCGTGGAATTCTTTTACAACTTTATCATAAACACTTTCTTTATTACCAGGCACTTTACTCGATTCCATTTTGCAGTCAGTTTCGTTGTGATTACCGAAACAGAACACTTTTTTTTTTGCGACACAAAATACACAGCTTAAAACTCGCTGACAAAAACGAACAGTGAATTACAACTGACGTAACAACTGAATTGTGTTCTGTTCTTAAGTGACAGAGCGCGCGCTGTATTCGAATAGCCTTTCCCTAACAATGAATTTTTCAACAAAACAACACCGAAAGATATTTAGGAACTGTTTTCACTTTTTCATTTTTTTTTCTTTCCCGCACATTATTGTTTAAAGAATCACCCTTACCCGTCTCCGTCTCCGTCTCCGTCTCCGTCTCCTTTTGTGGCCGTAAACCGGCTATGTCCAGAATTAAGTTGATTGTCTACTACTTGGCGGAAGCTGTCCAGTACGGGGACATCATCATCTCCCATTTTATAGCGCGCCAAATCAATCGACACTTCCTCGTCTAGTCCTCCGATGCTTCCCGAATCCCATCTTATGTCCATTGTGGAATCCACTTGCCATGTATCACCATCCTCTCGCAGGACCTTGGGAGTGTATATTTTAATGTTCCTTTTAGAAAAGTAAGAAATTGAACGACCCAGAAACTTGAACAAAGCCAATGGTGCATGTTGCCTTTCAAATATCTCCGACGACATCTACAGATCTATGCTTTTGACTCCGTAATGTTTCTTTAAACTATACTTTGCAAATTTTGCAAAGTATAGAGTTTGCAAATTGTACCTTTTGTGTTGCATCCTCCGGCTTCCACACTTACTTCATCGGTTCGGAACATTATCTGACCGTCTGGAGCAACGTTTGAGGTGCAAGGAAGATTAAGGCTGTTATTTGTTCGGGAGCCAGGGATAATGAAGACCTCACCCCATTTTCAGCATAAAACCCGTCCTGCAATTCAAAGTCAAATCTATACAGTTATGGTAAGATCTTCATAATTGTGTAATATTTCGGTCATAGCTGCAGATGAAGGAAAGGTTTCAACTCCGCGGATCTATGAGTAATTTTCTCCAAGCGAGCCCAGCGCATGAATTGGTACCTTTCTCTAGCTGGGGTGACGTTTTTACTTTTCTTAGAGTCACAACGCTGAATGTGTCATGGTTATAGTTCATTGAATTAAGTAGTTCCAAAGATATTTGAGTATTCCATTAGCCATACGTTCTTTAGTTAAAACCTTTTTGAGAAGTGCAGACTCTCATTAAAGATGTGGCACGAGTATGAGGCCCTTGAGATTCGAATTGGCGAGCAAAATGGGCGAGAAAGAGGTCTAGGAGAGGTCTCATTTTGGGAGCAGAACCCTCGCAGATTCTTTGCAAACTTCTTGCAACCTCGCCTGACGTGTGGGCACGAAACCGCAGGCTTCGCTGCTCCTGAAATAGCACTCTTGTGATCCCGCAGGCTACACAACTGTAGGGGAAGGGCAGGAGAAAGAATATTGGAAGGCTATAGGTTATTTGAATGTGCGTTTCATTGCAACCTGTAAGTTCATAATTAAATTTTTTTATTTTATAGATAGTAGTAATGAAGCTACTGGGCTCACCGTTTTTACTTGTCAATGCATTTTCTGTTACTTTTCATTCAGACACTCACCTGAGCAGGGGTACCGCCCAATCCTTCCTCAGTCCCTCCGCTTTCGCTGTCCATACCAATTGTCCACACGATTTGATTGCTATTGAATACGGCAAATGAATGACGTCCATTTGTAACCAGCACTGCTTGAAAATTGTTGACCTGGCTAGGTGCAAAATTGCAATTCCTTTGTAAATTCCTCCCCCCTTACACAAGATCCTCTGCTTAAACCATTGTGAATTAAGATAATTTGTCTTTACAGCTCTGTTGGGGTTTTAACTAATGTTACCATGTTTGTAAAATTAGAATAGGAAACAGGGTAAATTCTGCGTTCAGTACTGAAGTGGAGAGAGATGTTTTACGTCTTTCCACGAGCGTAAGACAAAGGAAAAAATTCTAAGTCCTCAGAAGGAATCGAGTCTCAGACCTTCGGATTCCGCACTCTAATGTTCTACCATGCAGTGAGCCATAGAGATTCTATGGAGAGCTAGACCGATACAAGGTTCTTATGTGACACACGTCCTGTTTACTGCTAGGATCAGCAATTTGGAGAGCATTTATGTCCCTCGCCTGCGACAAAGCGAAAAATTCATCTTTCTCCACTAACTTGTTTTTAAATTCTCCTTTAGCTCCATAGAATACGACTCTATCCCAGGTCGCCATGAAAATCCACGAGGCTGAGAATTTCTTGTGATCTATGAATCCTCGTCGAACATCCTTTGTAGCTCGGTCCAGCAATACAGGGTCAATACACTCCCTGTATAATGCAGTTCCCCATTTCGGGCGTCTATGTCACCCCAAAATGGCGAAATAAGACGTCGGTTGTCCCTCAGGGATAATGGAGCTGGGGTGTATTGACTCACTGCACCCAGAAATGAGACAACTCCATTTGTGTTCATCTGAAATCACACACATACAGAAAAGTTAAACCAGAAATGAAAATTATTCTGAAGTCGATAATCATCTGGGAAGTTAGGTCGTATGAAACATTATTCTTCACAACTTCCGCTGGTAAATTATTTTATATTATAATACATGTGTTTAATCATACTTAGATAACCTACAATGGAGTTTGCAAGTCTTGGGAAACTTACACGATATTACTAACATCGAACTATTTCTCCCTCAAATAAAGTTGAATTTGATGCACTTCGTAAACTTTACCAATACCTAGTTTTACAAACATTGTTAGCGGGCTGGGGGAGTGGAGGTTCTGTGTACACGCCTGAATTGGCTAAAGGTAGTCACTCTTTTTTATATATTTGTGCATAGGACATGTTTTCAATAGACACGAAGACTAATCTCTGTAAGATTACTCAAAAGTAACCAAAGAAAAAGACAAGAAAATGAAAATAAATAAATAAGTAAACAAATGGGTCACAATAGGACGTTTACTGATACAAATTGGAACTACTGGTAAGTGCTTTGTTGAAAGAAAGATAAAGTGAAGACAAATGGAGTCAGACATTTCAAAAACAGTTGTTTCTATGCCATCTTAACTTAAGGACGGGTGGGTTGTTGTTGTTGCTTCTTCTTGTTCTTAAATAATGCATGACTTATTGTAATTTTAATATTGCAAATAGGGAAATGTATATTTTGTACAGCATCCTACTCAGCCCAATTGAGTTCTTCTTTTGGGGGGCGGGGAAGGTAAGTAGGGCTGGCCTTGTTAAGAACATTAGGCTCTGAACAGCGCGCTTTAAGGGCGTTTACGGATACTTAGCAAATAAACTAACAAGATTACTGTCGGCAATGTCGGGGCGTAACAAAAACTTTGACGTAATGGCAACGTAGTCGGATTTGGGAGGAAGTAAAACGCGGAAGTTGACCTTGCAATATGATACAACGTTAAGTTAAAACACCAAAACAAGTCGTCTAGTGCCTCAAAAGATTGGAGCTTCAGATTTCGCCATATTTCCCTCTTCTTTTATACATTTGTACAGGAATATATGAACTTAATTAGTATTCTGTTCATTCCCAACATATTTCATAAGTTTCTAGCTTCCAACATATTCACAACAGCCAGCTTATTTTTTATGGATCTGAGATTTCCCTTAACCCTGTCTGGACTATAGAAATAATTAGGCAACAACTACAAACTACGGAAGATGTTCAAACGACTTCCGCAAATTAACAAGTATGTTACGACAACTTCTGAGGATAACTGCACTTGTCTAAAACAGTTTAAAGATATTACGAGAGGGCCATTGCCAAACAAAACCCTGGTTATTTTAACCGCTAATGCGCGACCGAAGAAGTAGAATGAATTGATAAAAAGTCGGATTTATAAGTCAGAAGCAAAAAATTGCTGTTGTAGCAGGAAATCGATCTGAACGAGTGAAGTTTACACACAATTCGCGAGTATGGATGGGTATCGCCATATCAAAAGAAACATCTTAGAATCCTCACGTAATATCGTGAACAAGAAGAGATTAGATCAACTTTAGACTTAAAGCAATCCCTC